AATTTTACATTTTCATAATAAAATAAGTCAAAATTTCAGCATCATCCGATTTCAGCATCATCCCCGACAATAATTATTAAAATTCAATAATTTAGTTGTTTGTCAGATAATAGTTGAATTATGATTTACCAACTGCCAAGAAGTGAAAATTGTTAGTGACCTTTTTTAGAAAAAGCCATTTATTCTACAAGAATTTACAACATTGAGCAAATAACCAAATAAATAGCATTGTACCAAGTGCAAGTGCTTGTGTGGAAAAAAAAGAAATCATCACTATGAAAAATAAATTATAAATAGGAACCTTCAAGGCTATTTCAAAATTTAAGAAGCCAGAAGACATATCTAAACCACAGATATTGTTATTCACATACTCAATATCTGTAGATGTTTTACAAATATTTGTCATATGGCATATAGCCATTCGTATATTTTTATCACAGACACTTGATATAAGATTAAGGCTGCTTGGTAAACCATTTAACCAACTAAGTTTTGAAGCCAAATTCTGGTAACCAGATAAAATATTAGACAGAGAAACCAAGGCAGTAGTTATGAAAAACTGTGTAGCACAAAACAGATCAAAGATCAAAGATGCTTGTATTATAGTTGGAATTGATCAAGACGTTGTTTTGTCAGTAGGGTTGGAGACAGCAGCTCCATTAATTATATTATGATTATGATGAATTGGGTATGGACAACCTGCTGGATTATGGTGAAGTGGACCTAAGTTACTTGTTGGAGCAAGATGAGTCGAGCTTGAATTACTTGTTGAACTAAGGATTCTATATTCTGGATGCTATCAGCACATACAGAGTGCAATTAATCATGAGATAGGAAATTATAATTGCAATACAGTATATTCATTGTATCAACTTAATATTAGATAATGATAATGTCTTTTCTTATGTAATTAATTTTGGAAAACATTTGAATATAAATTTTATCTATACCTTAGTATTATGAGATGTACTATTATTTGCGTTGTTACCATTTTCTGCTTTATCATGATTTATAAAAATTTTGCTAATAGCTTGTATAGCACTAGTTTGTATTAAAACAAAGCTAATTAATATAAAAACAACAATAATAGAGAATGGAACATTATATAAATTTGAGAAACTGCCTAAAGAATTTTGCTTAAGAGTATCAACATATGCATTAACACAACCTAAAACTTTATTTCCACTTGGCTGTAAAATTAAAAATTTTGAGAATTTTATAATTCTCAAATCATCTGCGAACTTATCCAAATTCTTATTTGGATAAGTGCTATTAAATATAATGTTGTACTGGGTATTGAAAATTGTACATATTTTTGAATCCGTAAAATTATCTGTCGATGACCCAATAGAAATATTACATGTTGAGTTGGCATAGAGCATGATCCAGTTGGTTTGTTAGCAAAACATGGTTTATAAAGCTTTTCATTTTCAGTAACTAAAAATAATTGTTGTACTGGAGAGTAAAGTTAATAAACATCGATATTAAATTAAGAAGAATGTCAAAATGCTATTAAATTACCTATGAGTTCATTTGAGCCTATTAAATTTTTTATTTCAAGAAGAAAACTTATAAAATTATTCGTTATGTAAATAAAAAAATTTAAAATCTCCAATAATCCACCACATTTCTTTAAATCGTATGTAGTGATTTTAATTGTTGTCTGATTACTTTGAGTTGTGTTTGTTAAAAAGTACATTGTGTAAAATGATAGATAAATATTTAAACTAGTTATATAAATTGTTTGGTATATTAATTTGAATCTTATACTTTAAGAATGATAGTCATGAAAACATTTGTGATAATAATTTAATTAACAAATTATAATTTTTATTGAATCTTTATGCTAAATTGAACTATTGCTATTTTATTTACAGAAGTGTAAATACATCATATTATTCTAATAAGTATTCTTTTTTGTACTAATTTAGTTTTGTTGTTTGTATTATTTAGTATATTCAATTTTTTAATACTGTGTTAATTACTGTATTGTAGATGAATATTAATTAATATATCAATATATTCTGGTGAAAGTTTTAATTAGCAAATTAAATATTGAAATGAAGATTTCAAAGAAATTTAATGAAGAATTTGTTAAAGGATACATTTTTATTGTTGCTGTAATATCTGATTGATATATAAGATAATGATAATACCTTTATTCTCCTTTAGTTCCTCAATTTTGAATGACTTACCTAGAATAATAAAGAATTAATTAATTTCTGTTTACCACATCTATTTCAGTGTCAGCCATGACATTTATTATTATTATATTAGATATTATACTTGAAATTGAAGAAAATTGGTAGTTGTATAATATGTATAATTTTTTAAAAGATAATCAATAAACATCGCGATATCAACCAATTATATTTTTTTGTATTTTTTTTACAAAAATGGATAATTGATAAACACTTTGATACTGGCCAATCATATTTTTTTGTATTTTACAAAAATAGATAATTGATAAACATCGTGATACTGACCAATCATGTTTTTTGTATTTTACACAAAAATGGATACTTGATAAACAAAATCACAATCAATAAAATATATTTTTAAATAAGAATTTTAAAGTTTTTCATAGCTATAGTGGCAGTGCAAGAACCTTAACAGTTAGGCTCCATGGATTTGGAAGTAGTGCAAAGACTTTGTTCTTGCTAAATCAATGTAAATTTGATGCACAAATTAGAATATAAAAGTAAATAAAATTTACTTTAAAGATAATCGATAATTCTTTTACGGATTCGTATCTCAAATTCAATAAATCTCTTTTAAGCAAAAATTAAAGCCATTTTAAAATGAATGATTTATTTACTTTGATTGTTTTGCATTCTGTTCTTATTTAAAATAGGATTCAAAAAAGCACCAAAAGAACGTAAGAAACTACCAAAAAAAACACGTCAAAAATGATAAAATAAAGCTAACCTAACTAATTTTATAGAAATTTTATAACCAGCTTGTATCATGTAATAAGGCTCATTAATTATTCAAAATCCAAATTAGCTAACTTTTCTAAAGACTTTCCACTATTAATCAGTGTAAGGGGATTTTTTATATTTTCTGTTGATAGCATTCCTGTTAGCACAGAATGATCAGCTAATTTTTTTGTTGACTTTCTACCATATATCAGTTCACTCTAAGTTCTGAAGTTAATTTACTCCACAAATATATAATTAAACTTGAAACTTGATGATTACTTAAATGATTGTACTTAGCCTTAACCATATGGCATATTTGAGTTCGAAATATCATGAAGCTATTTGGAGTTTTTTTATTGTTTTTCATCATAAAGTGGGTTTGCTGCTGTATTTAAAATAAATATCAGGGTTTTTATATTTAATCAAGGCAATTTCTTGATTATATCTTTTGAATTTACATTCTCACTATTTCGTAATAAAATCGGCGAATAACCAGTATTGTAGAAAATGTGCCAATAAACTATTAAAAAAAAATAACAAAACTGTTTACGTCTTCGTAGTAGATGTGATCCAAACATTGAACAAATAATATAAATAATTTATCCCTTAGATTGTAACACAGGCAAATTTGCCTGCATATTTTAAAATTTTTAATAAAATTTTAAATATTGATT